TGACAAGACAGCAGATATATGGGAAACTAATGATAGATAAAAGCTAATAAAGTTTGTTCTGTAGATACCTCTAGTTCCATCTTCAGACCAATAAGTTTGTCCTTCCTTGTGGAGAGGAAAGGAGGGACACATTTGGAAATTTATGTCCTATTTTTTTGTAAATCAGGGGAAAGCAGAGAGCTGTTCTTGTATCTGTTTCTTCTCAAATGCTGTCAGCTCAAATATCATCCTTATACCAAATTGGTATATTTTGGAGTGACATATTCCACTGCCCTTCAACAAATCTTCAGTAATGTCTCAAAATGAGGAAGTTACAGAAAGGTACTTAAACATTTTGAGAACTAGGGTTGATTATGGGCTGGTTTTAAGGCATAAGATAATAAGTAAGGTCCATGCCGAATTAGAATTTGTAAAGTAAGTGACTTGCTGGAACAATTAGTCTTATCTTTGGAGCACTTAAGGCCATGTGAAGTTATTCTTAATCAATTTGTTCTTGGTTCTATGTCAGAGGATATAGATCTGAACAAACTTAAAAAATTTTAACTTAAGATAATTTGAGTTACATGTCATAGTTTGGTACAAACATCTGTTATGCAAGTAACAGTCTGGTTTTGCAAGTTGATGTCTGATTTATTTCTCAAAAGGAAAGCATTTGTAAGTAAGGCAGCCAATTATAAGGCTTTCACAAAAATTCATACATAATATAATGAATGCTTGGAACAGGGTACTTAGGCTGTTACTGTGGAATTTGGAGGAATGAAAAATGTAGGGATAAGGAGGAAATAGATTAGAATCTTAATAATCAAGGCCTTTGGGAAGAAAGTAGACTATAAAGAGAGGAAAGGGTTCAAAATTGAATATTTGAAAGCTGGGAAGGTAATGGCACCAGTTACAATGCCAAAAAAAGAAGGAAATTGAAATTTAATATGTTGTAGATAGAAAATGGAGATGTTGAGGGGTTTTTGTTTTCTTTTTCTTTCTCTTTTGTATTTTAACTATAATAAATGTTAGGTATCATTTCCAAAATGACTAGAAGTATAAGAGAAAATAAGTTTTAGTTATAAACAGGAAAGTTGTGAGTTTTTCCTAGTATATTTAGCTTTAGAATCTTCTATTTAATTCTTTGTGTTTTCTTTAAAAATAACTTAAAATATACTGTAAATTCCACACCCTCATTTAACCAACTATTATTAGGTGAACTTTTCAGACATATAACTCATCCTCTAATGATCTCTAATTCTTCTGTTATTTCTGGAACTGCAGCAAAATGAGAAATGAATATGAATGCAAAGAAAACACCCCAATATCGAGAGAATCTTACTTAATTGGTAATAAGTACCCTGCTGTGAGGGAAAGGAAAAAAATGTAACCATACAAGTTAAAGAGATACAAGCCTTGACTTTTTAAAATTAGAGTGACTTCAATAATATGTTAACTAAGATCAGAAAATTAATCTATATTAGCGTAGCAACTTTTCAAGCACTGCCTACCCATGACCAAGGATGAAAGTGGGTTGCAGTGTCACAAAGCATGTGATTAAGTTAAATCAGCATAGTTTTTAAAGGGGAGAATTTCAGGTGATTCTACCCGAGATACTCATAGTTTTTCTTTAATCTATATAAGGGGACAGGTGACTACAAAGCTACTTTTGCAACATAAAGCCAGAAGTCTGACCCCATAGTATCACTGAGTCAGAATAAAGATGAAAGGGGCTTGCAGTTACTGTTTTAAGAGAACTGATATATGAAGCCCTAGGTATTGGCCGTATGACTATCTTAAGCTTCTGGGGTGTGTAGGCTTGCCTTCGACCTCCTAAATAAATATTTCAGATTTTCTCACTTCAAAGAAGTACTTTTTAGGCTGGAGATGCAGCTTAACAGTAGAGTACATGCTTAGGTAAGGCCCTGGGTTTAATTCTCCACATCACAAAAAGAAAAACAATACTTTTTTTAAACCTTGTGACATTTCTGAAATTAAAGTGTCTCTTTTAATTGGTTGTTTTTAGTTATATACAACACTAGGATACACCCTGATATTATCACAAAAGCATGGAACACAACCTGCTCCAATTCAGTCCCCAGTACTCCCTCATCTGCCACTGCTCCATCCCATTCCCCTTCCTCCATCCATTGATTGATCTCTCTTCAATCTATTTACATTTTTAAAATACATACTTTTAAAAAAAATTACTGTCCTTTGGATACACCTGATTCTGGGACCCACCATGCCACATCCACTCTTGCACATATGAAAATTTGGTCAAATTCATTCCACTGTTCTTCCCTTTTCCTGTCCCTTTTTCATCCTCCTCAATCCCCTTTGCCTACTCTACTGATCTTTACTCTATTTTGATAAAATTCCCTCTCCCCTTTCTCTCCCTTTCTCTCCCCCCCTCTCTCCCCCTTTTTTAACCCTACCACTCTTTATTTTGATGTACCTTCCGCATATCAGAGAAAACATTCTACCTTTCTGAAGTCAAAGTGTATTTTATACCTAATGTTAAAGTTATATTTTGTGTGTGTCTCTGCGTTAAGGACTCCCTTTCTTAAGTATTTTATAATCTAATAGTCTATGTTCACATTGTAAACTAATTCCATGTGTATGTGCATCTAAGAATAACAGTATAAGAACAACTAGGAAGAAAATAGAGCCCTTTCAACATCATATATCATAAAGAAGGAAAAAGAAACACATTTATTGTATATTTGTCTGCAAAAAAACTGAGTACTCATTATCTCAGTGCTAAGACGTACCATGAAGATAGTTGTTATAATTATTTTACAAATGAGAAAATTAAGAAAAAAGAGTTTGGGTCTGAATCCAAAGCTCCTCCTATTATACGCTCTATCTTATTGGAACTTCATACCATAGAATAGCATTTTCTGATTTTCTCCAAGACATACTAATAATAGATATTAAATATCTAAAGATCAACTAAATTCAGAGTAACAGAATTATGAATGTGAGCTAAGTATTACTTAAGTTTGTCTCAGAGACGAGACATCTGCCTCCTTTAGAAAGGTCTAATTTCTTTATTACTGTTGATCCCACTTCAGAAAAAAGAAAAAAAATTTTGAAAAAAATGATCATTCTCTTCAAACTTTTGAATATAATGTCACACATTCAGATGTTCTCATTGAGAGATATGTTGGAAAATAATTTTGGGAGGACAAAAGATCATTGTTTTTTGTTTTTGGACCAATTACTAGGAAGGCCCAGTATCTCCAAAACATTATTGTCAAATTGTAGCCAAAGATGGTGTGATATTTGATCTGCTGTTCAACACAGTGGAAATCTCTGTTGTTGCAGTTGTTGTTGTTGTTTTAAATTCTTTAAGAACATTTTCTCATTCTCCTTTACTTGAATATTTTTCCAAAGATCCTTTGAACATATGATGCCAGATACTGTTATAGGTGTTAGGAGTGCCGAACTATGCTTAGTACATCTGGGGCTCTTGTTTTGTTTGGTTCTGTTTATTTTTCCATTAGAAATAGGCAACATTATTCTAAGAAAATAATTAGTGGTGTTTTTTTGGCTTTTAGCTGCTAAATCCTGAAGATGACCTCTTACCAGGAAAGATTCGAGACAGCAATCGTTCAACCCTCCTAGCAACAATTCAGGAACATGGTTACCCCACAATCAACTTGGGAATTGTTGGAGACAAGTAAGTATTGTATTTTATTTTGAAAAGTTGTTATTGTTACTACAAATTTAACTTTAAAACACTAACCAGTTGGAATTGCTGCCAAAGAGAAAAATCTAATACCATAATTTTTCACTGATCACATTCTTCAGAGGCTAAAGAATTATAGAGGTGTTTATGTACTTTGAGAATAGACATTTTCTTGGAATGTTATTGTAATATTTTACTTTGCTATGGATGTATTAAGTGTACAGAGATTTTTTTTATATAGTGTTTGCTTTATGCCAGGACCTGCCAACTGATCCAAGGCAGCTATAAAGTTTCATCTTACTGGTTCTTGCCATCACTCCAGAAAGTGGCTCAGAGTAGCAGGAATGAGTTTTTAGAAAGAATAGGAAAAGTAAAAAGGGGATACTCCCAAGAGAGTAGATTCTTTCAGAGAAAAGAAGGATTGCATGCTCTTTCTTCTCTCCAATTTTATTGGGAATCCCAAGTAAGTTTCCAGGGTCTCACCCAGATCCATTCTCTGACTTTTGACTGACAATGGGATTGCATCAGAGTTTCAAGCCCCCACTGTCCATGGCAAAGATCCAAGACAACTCTGGGTCACATTAGCCCATGCATACAGGTTCTAACTGGAACCTATTCTGACAAATTTTTATAGTTAAGGGAATTATCCTTTTGTCCCTGAGTTCTGGAATCTAGTCTGTATAGAGTCACAAAAGTCCCCCTCTTCAGGATAACTTATCAGCATTTCAGAGCTGCATTTCTCCTGCAGACAAATGTGTGGTAGCCCATGCCTGTGATCTCAGCAATTTAGCAAGGCCGTAGCATCATATTGAGACCCTGTCTCAAAAATAAAAAAGGGCTGGAGATGTAGCTTAGTGGTAAAGCACCACTGGGTTCAATCTCCATTACCATAAATAAGCAAGCAAGCGTGAAGGAGTCAACACAGAAGGTCCACTTTATAGAATTATTCCTTTAACTTCATGTTCCCACTACTCGTGACTGTCTGTTACCTATCAGAACTACTAATGATAGTGTTATTCCTATTTACACTTTCACTGGTTTCAAGAAATACATGAAAAACACAGGTGAGAAGAGTAAAAGAGATGGTCAAATTTTTCATTATTAATTTTTTTAAAATTTAAGTATAATAGCTTTGTAGGATTTTTATATTGAGTTTTGAATCCTTGAGTAACACAAGTTTCTCCCAACTCCACCTACTGAAAATACAAACGGAAGCAGAGTGACTATAATTGCCCATATTTAAGAGTATATTATAACGGATAATAGAGGCGGGTGCCAAAGCATGGTATGGGAGTAACCAGGAAGTGAGAGCTGAGACTGGAGGAGGATGGATCAAGCCCAGGCGACTGTGGGAAGGCTTGGGGAAACACCTGAATATGTGGAATCCCAGTGCCGGGCACCCAGGGCCAAATCCACATCCCCCCAACTTGGAGTACCCTGGAGGTTCCAATCCTGGGTATCCACCATATCCACCACCTGTCAATCCAGCTTTTCCTCCTGGTCCCTGTCCCCCAGGTCTTCCCCAGGGGATGCCATGTCTTCCTCCAAATGTTTCCCCTTATCCTGTTCCACAACCAGGATATCCAGGACATCAACCCTCAGGTCACTATCCTCCTCCATACCCACCACCTGCCCCTGGTATGCCTCCTGTGAACCCCATGGCTCCTGGCATGGTAGGCCCAGGAATGATAATGGACAAGAAGATTCGGAAGAAAATGAAGGAAGATCATAAAAAGATGCACAAACACCACAAGCATGGCAAGCATTCCTCCTCTTCCAGCCGTGACTCTGACTGAATACAGGGCCTGGACCCTCCCCTCAAGTCTCACCAGTTCTGCTGTCCCATCAAGCTCCAGCTGCCGTGTTGTACTGGGAGAATTTAGCCCTTGTACCCCTCCATCCTGTCCCCACCTGAGCCTTACCCTGCTGTTCAGTCCTGACTAGCTAGGGAAAATGGGAAGAGAATTGCAATGGGCTAGCAAAGGCAGCCTTCTCACTGCTTAATAGATTTTATAGCTGAAAAGTTTAGCAGGGAAGCTGCTTTTTTGAAGATGGTGAGACCTCTGAGCTAAATGCTGAAGACAAGTATAAATTCTGTAAAATGTGATCTTTTAAAATTTCATTTTAAAAGGTGGGTTTGTGGAAATTTCACTATGATGAAAAACCTGTACATTTTTGTAATGATGGCACACTGGGGTGATTTAGTGGCGAATATATTTCCCAGCAGTCCTTTTATTGATTGTACTAACAGCAAGGCTGCTGGGAAGTAGAGTCCACTTGGCTGATGATCTCCGACTGCCCTTTTGTAAGCTAATCTCTACTCCTTAACTCAATATGCTATCTCAGGTCCTACTCTCATTCTTCAACTCTGGGTCCAAATAAAACTATTTCTCCTGAAAAAAAAAAAAAGAGTATATTATCCCCACCTACCAAATTAATTCAGCCCTCTTGTAAATTTCCCAAATATTTCTATGACTCTTTAGTGGTGTCTCACATGTGATCAAAAGCAAGTCTGCTTTCTGAGCATCCCACTACTAACACAACACTTATAATAATAAGAGTTATTATTAAATCTTTGCCATTTTTTATTTACCTGGATTTTTAGTTCTGAAGAAGTCCACCAGCCAACTCAGAACCCATACAGTGTACAAGTTACGCAGTATCAGGGTCGGTAGTCCTAGGAAAATAGTAGAAAAGACCTACTACAAGGAAAGGGAATTAGTCTGTTCTTTTACATAAATTTCAAGCACCTAGAACTTATCCTGATGCAGACATAGCTTTAAAGAACACAAAAATCAACTTCTGAAAAGAGACAAGATGAATCTAAGAGTTTTAAAAGCCAGAAAGAAATAAGGCAAGCAGGCCCCAAACTGTAGAAAACAAACTTACTAGATTTAGTACAGTTGTTTTCCAACCAACGATGGTGCTAGCCCTGCCTCCAGTGCATTAATAAGCTCTAAGAAATATTCTAAGATAAAAGAAGCTTTCTTTTTCTTCTTAGCCCTAAACTGTTCTGGACTATAATTCTGTCCATTCTTAATTCTATTGTTAGACTTTTGGGTTTTTTTTTAAAGTTACTGTATTATATTGACATTTTTCTATAAAGGCCAAACACCATTGAAAGGTTCTTATTTTGGTATGATAATATTTAATTGTTTGGAATCCAAACTGTTGATTTATTATGAACATTTCCTATTAATGTTGCTGTTACGTTTAACTCCAAAATGTACCTTCAGTATAGCCGTAAACAACAACAAACTATAAGCAGGTATAGACAATTCAAGAAATGTGCCAGTCTCTACTGTTTACCCTTTTATTTGATAGCAGTGCTTTATATCAAACTGAGAACAATTTTTTGGTTTGTTTTTTTTTAAGCAACATGCAAATTTAGGTTTGTTACTCTTAGAAATCCAAAGTGAATGGTTTAGAATGCAGAGGTAGAATGTGGGAGAAAAGAATTTATAACTATTTTAATGGAAATTTGCACTAGGACTTTAGCAAGGAAAACAAGTTCATTTCTCCTACAGCCTTTTGATATTCTGTGTAGGTTGGCTCTCACTTCATTCTTTCTCATAGCCTTTTGCTAATGAATGCAAATGTTATATATAAGCTTCTGCAGGAAACTCTGCAGGAACACAAAGCAGGGTCATAGGAGAAACTCTGCTCTGTGTTTAAAGCAAGTAAGAGAAATTACTCAAGAATGTCAGCAAGCACAGAACCCTGTCTAAGCTATCACACATATGGGTAGAGAGTGACAGTTCTCTTCTTGTCATATAAAAAGGATAGAATCTGGTTTTTAAATTCTATATGATTCAGTCTCTCAGTTCTTGGTCTTATCTAAACCTACCATAATTTTGACAATGTGAAGTAGAAGAGTAAGCCATTACATATTTAGATTAAGTTGGCCTAAAATTTGTCTTCATTTATTGGACCTTTTATCTAAGAAGAGGATAATTTATTAGTATAGTAAAATTATAGAAGTGGTACTTCAGATACCTGAGAGTTAACAACTGTATCTGAAAAGCATTCATTTACAAATATTAAGTGTATATTAAAATACATTCTCCAAATTACATTTTCACACACTATATGGAACATAATACTGTTGGGATTCCTAGTTCCTTTCTTTAAAAAGGCAAATTTTGGAATTCAGAGATGTTAAATAACTTACTCAGCATTATACAGCTAGTTAGTGGCAGAGGTAGAAATGGAATCTAAATTTCTTGAGACTAACAGTCCACAATTCTCTGCTATCATCATGAAGCCAAGATATTATATGTCAGAAGAGTAGTAGCACTATGGGCTGGAGTGGTCAGAGGTTTTTATGAAGGTGCAATTTTAGCTATAATTAGAAGAATGAGTGAGATTTAGATGGGAAAAGATGAGGTGTTAATCCAAATAGGGAACACTGAATGATCAAAAATAGAGAAGTAGAACCAAATAAATATAAAGAAGAAGAAATAAGTATCTACTCAGATCAGTTCAAATGATTAGAACAGGAAGGTCTAGTAGAAGGATAATGCAGGTAAATATACTAAAAATTTGAGGCCATATTTTGAAAGGCTTTGCAATCCAGGCAGAACTATCCAATTCTGTCAAAATTGAAGCTTTTTTTTTTTTTAGCAAAAATGACATAATAAATTATTATTTTAGAAAGATAATTGAACTGAGATGTATCACATGAGCTATGATGAAGGGGACTGGAAATAAGACCAATACAATTTATTTATTCACTGTTTTTTCAGTCACCAGTAAGTACTGATTCCTCTGAGAATCACCTGGAGATCTTATTGAAAATGATGATTGTGATTCACAAATCTGTGATGGGTTAAGATTTTGCATTTCTAACAAACTTCCAGTTGATACCAAACTGCTGATCCATTGATTGCAGGAAGAAGCAAAGATATAATAAATTCAATCATGTGTTTACCATGAATTCTAAGCCAACTCATATTGAAGATACAAAGTTGAAATAAATAAACATAGATCCTACCACTAAGAAATTATAGCCTAATAGTAAAAATATTTTAGAAAGTTCCCCAGCACTTAATATCATATTTGAAAGTAGAATTAAAAATAAAGAGATTAGCCAGGGCCTGGTGGGGCATGCCTGTAAACCTGACAGCTCAGGAAGCTGGGGAAGGAGGATCACAAGTTCAAAACCTGCCTCCACAACTTAGCAAGGCCTTGAGGAACTCTGCAAGACTCTGTCTCTAAATAAAATACAAGAAAAAGCTGGGGAGTGGCTCAGTGGTTAAGTGCCCCTGAGTTCAGTCCCCACCAATAAAAAAGAAAGATTAAATTAACAGAAATTGTGACTTTTACCACAGAATGATGTCAGCTTTGATTTATCTTCATCTGAATAACAATACTTTGTTGAAATGGAATCTATAAACACAAACTAAATGCCCACAAAACCAGCTATTAGGCCTCTTGCCACAATTTTTATATCCCCCTCTAGCAACATTCTTTCCTCATCTTTATTCTCCATTTGCAGTCTGTTTCTTTTGACTTTTAAATAATTCTTCCTATGCTTATTCCCTAAAAATAACTTCCCATGGCTCACCATTAATTTTCTGTCCTTCTGTTTCTTTATGCCAAGGACTCCCAAATCTTATGTCCCTACCCTGAATGTGAAACTAGTCAAGCACAGATATTCCAAATTGTCACAGATTTTTGTGAGTTTAATATTCTTTCACTGGCCAACCCATTTCTAGCTGCCTTGAATATGGGATCATGGATGTCCTAGTTTTCTTTTTCCTGTGACTGGTTCAGTAACCTACTAGCCTCCTTTTTGTCCTTCTAGGCAGCATGAGCTATTACAGGGGCAAGAGTCTTAAGACAAAGGAGGAAGTTTGGATAAATATATAAGTACAGAGTACTATATGTGCCAGCTAATAGAGTGAGGCCAGAATTTACTCAAGATATTGGTCATTTGGACATATGTGCATCTCTGATTATTTTGGGGTTTTGGGTTTTGGGTTTTGGTTTTGGTTTTGGTAACAGGGATTAAATTCAGGGGCACTCAACCACTGAGCCACATCCTCAGCCCTATTTTGTATTATATTTAGAGACAAGGTCTCACTGAGTTGCCTAATGCCTCCTAGTTGCTGAGCCTGGCTTTGACTCAAGATCCTCCTACCCCAGCCTCCTGAGCCCTTCTATAGGCTTGAAGGTGAAGACAGCACTCTGTTAGGTAAAGCAGATTGGGCGAGCAAAATAGAGAGGCTCAAAACCTCAATGTTTGGAAATCTGGGTCTTGTATCCTGAACTATGGGGCATTCTCTTCCCTATACAGATCATATTAAAGACCTCACCCCATTTTCTCTCATTGGCTGCCAGATGATACCTGATTAGAATACTTTCCAGTTCCCCCCATTGTTTACTTTAGAAAACCTAATTAGAATACTGCCATTTTACTCCCATTGGTCATTTTAAAATTTGAACCTATGGCAGGAGTTGTAATGGTGATAAGTCCTCAGTTGTCATGATAATGGGATTTATTTTAAACAGGGATAGGACTGTCTTCTTGTCTTTTCCAACAGCAGCTTCTTTCTAATACTCTGTTTCTGCCATCTGGGTGTCTCTGAACTGAACAAAATGAATCCCTGAAAATTGCACAACGCAAAAGTTTTGTGACTGGGATGACTTGTTTTATATTTCTGAAGAAAAAGATCTTAGGGGAAAGAAAGAAGTGTAAATTAAAATGGATTTAGAAGGCTATTTTAAATATTGGGGAGCTTCTCTCGGGCTTAAATCTTACACATTTACCTCTTTAATGTAACAAGTGGTAATCATGCTCCAAATATACAGAATCCACTTGAGGAACTTTTTTAAAAATAAAATTCAGCATTAATTGAGTTTAAATCATTCCTAAAACTGTGACAATTGAGTTGTGTTTCTACTTCAGCTTTAATACAGCTTACCAAATGCTGACTTGGACCTTGTAGCCTTTCAAGACCTAAAGAACTGGGAAATTTAAAAAAAGGGTCCCCCTTCTGAAAAACAAAAGCCTGCCCCACTCAAATCATTCTTGGTTTGCTTGCCTCTGTCATAGTCTTGTGTTCTGAATTTGAATTGCTTGCTCTCAACGTTGCCAAT